GGACAGCTGATGCTATCTATCTATCTATCTATCTATCTATCTATCTATCTATCTATCTATCTATCTATCTATCCTGCTACAGCCCAGCCAGCTGTTCAGAAATTGTATCAGTAAACAGCAGACAGGTTTGACGATTCAAAATGAGCATTTTATGGCTTTAGACTGTTTGTTAGCAGTTATCATCTGTTTCTCAGCTGCTTTCTCGTTTGAGCCAGAGACAGTGGCTGCACTTTTAAACTTCCTCTGAAGCTGCCTTCATGGCCTGATTATGATGTAATCCCTAACCACCAGCATGAGTAACCAGTCAGGATCTGGCTGTGTCCTGTATCCCCACGCTCACACTAATCCAAAGCAACAATAAAAGTCATTCACACACAAATATTCCTGACACACTTCAGTCTTATGGGGGAAAAAAAAAAAGTAATTACCTTCTTGTAATTGCTGCAACTGTCTTTTCAGAGAGGCCAGTTTGTCTTGGTACATTCTGCAATGAAATGATCCAGAGCTATGATCACATTTGCTTTCACTGTGTGCAGCATGAGGGCAAACATTCAAAAACTTTCACCTTCAAATGATTTCTATTCAGGTCAAAACAGCCCAGCCACGGTTGGCAAAACACTTACTGCTCTTTGATTTCAACATAGTCATCCTCATCGTGCTTGGCAAGATCTGTTTCACTGGCATCTTCCGTGTCTGGAAAAGGGCACACCAAGAGAAGAAGAGAACACAGATTTCAAAACTATCTCTCAACTAAAACACTCTATACGTAAGATATTCAGCATGTTGTAAACGAGATAATTATGTAGTGTCCACAGAGAGTAGAGATCTGTGCAGATCAAAGGACGTGCGTGGCACTGGTAAGGTAATGGTGAACACCCTGCTTGGGAATGCCCTCCGGTTGGTTAGATTAGGAAACCAGGAAAAAAAAAAAAATCCAAGTCTGCCAGATTCATTCACTTATATATATCCTCGCATCGGCAGCAAGGAAAAGTTCATCTAGAAAAATCTTAACACATGTATCCAATAAGATTAATATAACGACCAATAGATGTGTAGCTGTTACTTTGAGTGTCAAGAATTTGCCGCATGGTAGGATTAATCAGAAACGGTCCCCGGCTAACTTCGTGCTGTCAGTCCTACGGCAACTCTCTCAAGACAAAGCTAACATGTTCAGGCTAGTGCGATGTGGCAAACTTGGGAGCCAAGTTTATAAGCACCAGCTGACCTAGCTGCTAGGTCAGTCGGCGTTTACCTCCAGAACCCGACACAAGAGGGTAAGGCCCGGTCGTGTTAAGCTGACACAGCAGCTTTCATTTTCGGTTAGCATTAATGTGCTAGCTTAAGTTAGCTAGTCTACTGTTTGAAGAGTAACCCGATTCTAGCTCTCGTAGTTCGGCGCAACAGAACCGTCAACACATCCGGAGCGGAAGAAAATAAGTCCAGATCTTCGCTTGGAAAGTCAATGCCGGGAAACTAGCCAACCTTTTAGTGCTGTCATCGCCTTGCTTTTCCTCTTGTCTTTCTTTCTCTTTCACAGCAACCCGTCCTGTCTCACTGAACAGTGTGAAAAGGGCAGTGCAGTGGACACAGCACGCAGGGTTTCTCCTGCCTGCCGACCTGTCAGTGCTCCAAGCTAACGTTACGTAGCTAGTTGGCTAATTGACGCTGTGCAACTACCCCATGTGAAATATCATTTATTAAAACGGTGTTTAGTCCTGGTGGACTGGAAAATGTCTAACGTTGTCTTAACTGCAGTTACAGTTGCGTTTTGTTGGGAACGATTTGTTGCACAATAACGTAAAGCAGGTCGGGCTAATAGTTACAGCTGCTTGATGCCTCTCGCGTAACGTTACTACTGAAACGCTAGCTTGTTAGCATGTAAACAAAGCCGAGATTATTTATATTATAATCCGTATCGGTGAGCTAAATGTTTTATCATCTTAGGAAACGTTCACTCGGTATAAGCGATTGAACTCGTTTACATCACCTGCTTCTGAAATGTCTCTTGACTGGGCAGAAACTTGTTTGGCGGCAGTCTGGTAGCTAACTTCCTTTGCAGCTAACGTAGCAAGCTAACTACGTGTGGCTGAAGCTCGCGTTGGTCTGTCTCTCCAGCTCTGACAACGAGATGTTAAAAACGGACTTAGAGAGTTGCTAAACAGGTGAATCCGAGACGAGAAAACGGTTCCCACTCGAGCTTAATCTGTAGAGAACTTTAAATAATGATATTTAAAAAAAATAAATAGCAGAATTTCTGCAATAATCGCGCGTTTCCGTCTGTTTTCCAACAAGTAGACCGAGCCGGGGCTTGTGGTCAACTCGTTTAACGTTACCTTCCTCTGAGTCTCTTCCTCTGAAGCTCCGATCATCGTCGTCGTCCACGCTGTCAAGTTCTTCTTCGTCATTGTAATAATCCACCATAGGCGATAGCAAAGTCGAAGCCATTTGTTCGCTTGCAAAATGTAAACAAACACAAAATAAACAATCGATTTGTGTTTTGCAGCTTGCTTGGAACAGCGCCTACAACTGGCAGGACCTCGGAGTATCAAGCGGTCTGACAGTATGCCTGTATACAATGTCTGTAATATTAACGTTTCATGTGGAAAGAAACATGGTTTAATCTGATCTTTCAAAAAGCTAAAATCGAGAGTTGAAGATGCATAATACCCGACAATAATTGGTGTGTTTTATATATGCGTATTTCAATTTACGGCAAAACATGTAAACTGGCATATTTGCGGACACCAGGGGCTGTGGGGTCTCTTTGTTTTGGCTCTCCGTTGGCTCGCTATCCATTTAGTTTTTCTACAGCGGATCTGTGAGGATTAATGGGTGGTCAGTGAGTGAAATCCTGTGTTTTTCAATAAAGCCTCCACTGCTCCAACTTTGTGTTTTCCAGTAGTTAACTCTATCACAGAAATGATGGACTATTAGTCACCAAAACAACCGTAACATTTTCTTCCCACCTCATATATTTAGTCATCTTGCTGCTTTTCAATTATGTTACATCCCATTATTGTGTTTTGAAGGCTGTTTCAAAGCCTTACCTCACTGCCTGGAGCACTGCATACTACTAAATATTTTATTTTGATTAAATGATTTATAATTATTTGTTCATCCATCTATCTGTTTATTTCGAAATAGACAAAAATAGTAACATTTGAGTGTGAAAGTATCAGATTCAGCAATAAAACCCTACCGTGCGTAAATGTGTGTGTAATTGCAGAATGCAAACTTTTCATTACGTGATTCTCTCTCATGTTATCAGAAATGACCTCCGTCCTCACAGGTAGCTATGGAGCTCTGTTTAGCCATACTTCTCCAACCTTTATGTATGTATGTACTAATGCTCATTTCTAGCCTCATGCCATGGAAATAATCTTCCAGTTACTAGTGTGGAAATCGTTGAGGTCCGTGGGTAAATGCAAAATGCATCTCCTCTATTCTTAGATCCCAGTGGGTATTTGTAATAGTGAAGTTGGTTTGACTTTGTATCAATAATAATTTGTAGCGAGCCAGATGTACAGTTATAAAAAAACATATCAAACAGTGGTAACAGGCTTTTAAATTTGAAAGCTAGAATAGTTTCCAGTGTAGACCTTCTATACAGTTCCAGATAGACACTATAAGCACCATAGCCTATGATCCATAGGCCTCGGCAGGATTTCCAGTAGTGATGGGAATTCTGGCTCTTTCCAGTGAGCCAGATCATTTGGCTCATCTCTTCATTTAGTACCACTTCTGGCTTTTATAACAATACCCAATATTTTGACCTATGATATATGTGCTCATAAATCATTCAATGTAATTATACTAAACCATATCATTTCCAGAAAACCACAATTTCACATAATGCTAACACTATTACACACTTGTATTGAGAGTTTTATGTATATTGTTTTGTATTATTTATGTTGACGACCAGTGTAACATACAAGCATGCTTGGGTCCTAATGTTATTACCAAAGATTGTAATTAATAAATATACGTTATCTTATTATTCCGTCTTGTGTTCATTTATATTAAAAAAAGAATAGAAAATGAAATTGGTTATCAGGTGCAAAGACCCAACGTTTACTTAAAGGAACCAGCTCAGAGCTGACCCGTTCACAAATTACATTTCATTATTTTCCAGGAGATTGTGGACCCTACCTCTATAAGCCTCTTGCTGCTGACCTTGTGTGATTATTAAGGGCTTTTGGTCGAGATCACCTCAAGGATTACTTGATAAATCAGTTGGTCTCTTAATTATTTTGATAATTATACCAAAAATTACACAAAATCAATGGTTATAGCTTTTCAAAAGTGAATATTTGCTTATTACTTATTTACTTCGTAGTCATATGTGATAGTAACCTGAATATCTTTGGGTTTTGGATTGGACAAAACAAAACATATTTTGGGAAACTGTAACATATTTTTCTCTTTTGTCTGCCGTCCAGGACAATATCAGGAAGGAACTGAACACGATTCCCTTAATTTACTTCCCACAAAGGCTGTGATCCTCCTTTTTTGTGTAAAGGATTATAGTCATTGTTACAGCATGGAAATATTGCCCTTTCACTGTGGCTTCCCAAGTAATGCAAAAAACACTGGGCAAGGAATTTTGAGTTCAAGACCAATCTGGGTTGAGTGTTGGGCTGATAACATGAAGGTCAATGGATTTACCTCTACTGTATTAGCGATCTTAAAAATAAACACTGATTTGGGGTTTTGGACTGTTGGTTAGACAAAACAAAACATTTACAGACTTCACCATGTGCTATGCTTTAACATAGCACTATTTCTGTCGGGAGATGTGCAGCTCTCTTTAACTGCATATTATGTGATTGAATTTGAACTGATTCATTATTTGAATTTCAAAATTGTGTGTTTACAGTGATGGTTAAATTTCACAATGAGGAATTCAGTTTCCTAGAAGATTCAAATTAGAATTTCTATGATTTGCATTTACACAGAAGCTGTAACGCCATAAAGTAAATATACCAATAATGGGGTGATTTTCCAACCACATAAGTGTTTTAATTTGTACAAAGGACAAAGGTAAATTCTTGTACTTGTTTTTAAGGTATGAGGTCTTTGAATAAATAGATACATACATTTACATTGCCTTGTGTTATAGTTGAACTTCAAATGTGCAGCAGCAGGTGGCAGCATTGTACTGAGTACATTCAGGTGACGAAGTGGCTCACCAACACTGAAGTTGCAACAGAATCGGGATGACTCAGTCCATGCATCTTTAATGATTCACAAAGGAAATAAGGTGTAGCATTCTCGGTCGCTGGCGGTACTTGTGAGAAGAGAGAAGAAGAAGCATTACGGAGGAGATATTTGATGCTGAACATTTTTTTTTTTTTTTTGCATTTGATGTGGGTAATGCAACTGAGCGTAAGACACTTGCAAAACAATCCGCAGTTGGTGTTCAATTAGTACAAAGTACGGCGCACCCTCCACCAACACGAGACAACTTTATTTCCGCCTGTCTGTCAAACCAACTGTCAAACACGAGCGAGGGGTTGTGCTCCCGCTGCTCCGTCATTCAGGAAGTCCACACCAACTGACAGCACTTCACAAAGTCCCAACGATACCTTCACAGTCCGACTAAATGTCCCTGAAGTGAGTATGCTTTTCAACGACGACGACTTTTTCAAGAGGTGAGTGTTTGTTTTCTCTCCTTGTTGTTTTGTTGCTGTCACCGTTTGCCCCCCCCCCCCCCACCCCCTTTTTAACGGTTAACAGCTCGTGCTAGCCTCGCGCTCTCGAAGTGAAATGACACTTCCTCTTGTCTCAGCGGCTAAGCTACTGGAGCTAAACGTCTAAAGCAGTGAAAGTGGATGTGGATGAGTAGTAGTCGCTCGTAGGTTGCACCTGAAGTTGTAAACGACCACGGCCGCCTGGTTTTCGACGTTGTTCTGGTTGTTTTGTTTCAACGCCACTCCACTCAGAGGGGGTGAGTACAGAGACCAGCATCAGCTCGCCGGGGTTAAGTGCGTAGGTTTGCTTTTTAAAGGTCTTGAGCGAAGTGTTTATTTGTTGATTGATGCGTTTCTGCACCTGCTTCAAATCTTCGCTGAAAATGTTGGAGACTTACGTTGTGGACTGACGGTGGAAGACGCTTTGCTGTTTGGTTTGTCCCTCAGGGGGTGAGTATGGAGAGCAAAAACGGATGACAGGTTGTAATGAAGTGTACAATTTGAAGGAGAGGGGGGGAGGTTGAAAGCCGACGAGGCGACTGGACGCTGTGTAAACTTGTCCTTGGTGTTATTTTAGCATTGTCACGCAATGTGGGCCAGTATGCGTGAGTCTGTCACATCCAAAACGACTGTGGTACCTTCCATTGCATCCTACATTGTTGTGAGTGAGATTTTACTATCAACGCACAGTCACAATGGCTCTCGGTTGAGACGGTGCAACGTCCACGACACATGACCCGAACCACATTTTTACTACGTCTCCTCTGCACTTGTCAGCCAACCGAGCATTATCTGCATCCTTCACACTTTTGCTTATAGGATTTCGATTTTTTTTAACACTTGCACTACATTTAATGCAAACGCAATGACACGCACGTCATTCATCTTTATTTAATTTTTTTTATATTACAAGTCATTTCGGGCGTGAATGCTTTTACAAGAGCTCATCACTTGCACGCAGGGACGGTGCTCGGTTAAATAACCAGCGTTAAAAAGTAAATGTAGGCTAACATGACGCGCTCGAAATGGCAGATGCAGATAGCAAGCTGAGCACCAAAACCCAAGCTGACCCAACATGATGTCATCTCTTGTGTGTAGAGCGCATGAGTGAGAGGCAGCAGACCCCGCGTTTCTCTGCGAAAACTGTGTCATTTGTGAAGATTTGTGTTAAGGAAGCATTTAATCCCATGTTATGACATTGCACCTGCATATCATTCTAATCGACTTAATCTCTTTCCACTCAGAGGTGCAAAGAAGGGATGATGTTGTGTGGACGATTTGCGAGTAAGTCTCTGTCTCTAGAGTTTCAGTGGCATACTTCAGTTTTGCAGCTGACGTGATTTTGTTCAAAGGGCACAGGGCTTTTGTGCAAGTCCTCTCCCTTATTCACCTCACCCATATCTAGTACGCTTCTATGCAACCTTTTGACCATGCAACCTGAAGAGGGAACAGAAAGTGACACACTTCCTTATTAGCAATGGTATATAGGGCAGTTCAGTATTTTATCAGGACTTTACTTCGAATGGTAAATGTCAGGATTAAAAAGAAATACTTAGGTTGTGATGTGCTAAATTCTTGTTTGTTGTACAGTTGGACCCAAGTGAGGTTACCCACATCTGGTCTTGTAAAAGCTTTTAATATGGCATGCTGTTAAACACAAGGCACACAATCAACAGACTATTTGTTCAGTGTTTTGGATGAATTATTATGATCTCCTCTGCTTTTATTTGGCCTTGGTTAAACATGGATGGTGGTCGCTATATGTAATGTGACAACAAGCTTCCTTTTCACAGGCAGAAGCAGTAAGCATACTGCTAACAGTCATGTCTTTTTATAGACCTGTGTGAGAGATTATTGAGACGTTAGCCAGGGGTCTTCTCGTGAATTTTCACAAATCCCTTTGAGTACCTGTGTGTGTGTGTGTGTGTGTGTGTGTGCATGCTGATGGATGCACTGGGAAAAGGACACATCAGCTGCTCTTGACAATTGGCTGATGTGGCTGTCAGAGACGGGGTGGAATGGGGATATGAGCCAGACATGTTCACACTAAAGGCAGGGGCCCATTTGCACACAGGACTGGTTTAACATCAGGTTCAAGATTAGGCTTAAACCAAATTGTCAGACACTTTTTTTTGTGCTGGGCTGACAACAGGCTAGCAGCTTGTAACAAGCTGTGCAGTACCGCTCTGTTCTGTGTGACATGAAGTGACATAAAGTTAGATGCTAAAAGATGTCCAAAGTGGTCCATCGCTCTCAAAAGGTAAGGCAGTATTATAGCCTACAAAAGGTAAAGTGACACTGTCGGGTGCAACAAAGGATGATCCTGGACAGCGACCTGCATAAAGAGCCCGAGGCAGATGTCAGAGTGAGAGAATTGTCCTGATGACTACTGGACTGTGTAAATTCCTGTGCCACTATACCAATAAAAATTAAGCTATACAATCTCTCAGTTAATTGGCATGGTGTGATGATGATTATATGGTGAACTGAATATTTATTTTGCACTGCATCTGTTTTACTCATGTGTATGTATATATATTTTGTTTTAGTTAATTTCAGCATCACGTTTAAACTCCAAATTCAGATTATGCTGTTAACTCCTACGACAGGTCTGGACGAGGGCTTCATGATATAGTAGAAACATTGTATTGTGATCACTGGTTCTTATCATTACTGCTTCACAGCTACTGACCGTGCAAGAATTATTTTGGGTGAAACTTGAAATGAAATGAAAGAAAAGGTGCATTTTCAAATTTAGCCAGCTTATTGTGGGCATGGCCTGACACTATCTATCAGCAGGCCTGACATTGGCAGGGGGAGGTTTAAACCCTGGCAGCAGGCTTAATACATGCCCTTCTCTGTAAAGAGTTTGATTATCTGGGTGTGAGTAAAGTTTAAAATCTAAAGCAGAACGGGCCTCTCCTCTCCAACTCTTCACCCCCAAAAACTTTCAGGAGGGCTATGATACAGTAGTTACAGAATGTTCACACCAGCATTTGTGACAGCAACATTGTGTAGCAAATTCATTTAATCTGAACAGAGATCAGTGGATTTGCTCATGGAGGCAGTAAATCCATGAAAAGCTTTCCAATTGCATTGCAAGAAGGCAAAGCTGCATAGTATTAGTAGTAGTAACAGTGGGAAGGACATCCCCCACATTTACTGTCCAGATTCAAACCCTCATGGTGGCAATTATCCAGTGCTGTTTGAGAAAGACAGATTCTTAGTGTAGTTAAAGTATGTTGTCCTGTTGGTGAGCCTAACCTTTGATCCTAATGAAGGAATTTGTTGTTATGGGAGCTGTAAATTCTAATATTCACTTCACCAAGAGGAAATGGAAACCTAAATTCCTACTCCCCAGTCACGAACAACCGTCTTGTTTCTGCAGGTCCACATGTCACTGTTAACTAAATAGGGATGCACCAGTTGTGACCTCCTGGGCCCATATTGATGTTAAAAAAACAATTTGGCCAATAGCTGATTGTTGATGTCTTTTTGTTGTGATTTATTCGCCCCATTGTGCCAGGAAAACAAAGAAAGCTACAAAGATAAGCATCTCCGCCCTATCGCAGCTTGGTCTGTTTTTCTTCTTATCCAGGATTTGAGACGCAGAACTGAGCAGCCGCTCACTGTCCCTGCTGATGCATGGAGCACAGGTATTTGCATGGAATTTCTGACAGTGCTGGAAAATGGAGGTGAATATTTCTCCAATATTCAAGTTGAAAATAACGAACACAACATTTAATCGAAAAGTTGATGCAACACATAAACATTGGTTGCTGGCATTGGTGAATGCCTTCTCATTTGCAGAACAAGGCGGATATTGGCCGATACCAATGTACGGACAATAAATCGGTGCACCTCTGCTACTAAAGGCTACAGTAGTTATCTGTACAATAAATAATTACTGTGTCCCTGTAAACAGGCTACAGTAATTACAATTGTTGGTGCGACCTTTATGTGCCTGTTTTAGCTTCTGCTTCACAGCTCTTATAATGTGCTGCAGTGCCTAATGCAATCTCTTTTAGTCTCAGTTGAATCCTGACTTGTCTAATTTAAGAACAACAAGAAGGCATACAGGCAGGCTTTTGGCCTTATAGAACCTGGGCCTATTTTAATTAGCACTGAAAACAGAGCGTTGGACAGGCTCCTCTGTCCTGCTATGACCTTGTAAGTGATGTCTTACCAGAATCCGTGACTCTTTTTCATCCCTCTCCTCTTCTCTGGGGTCATGTGGATGTCAAAGTTAACAAGTTTACCTGCTCTGCTGTCGAAGAACCATGACAGTCTCACTGCTAGGCCCATATGTCTTATGGCTTGCCACCAACCCTGTAATGAGTTTACTGGCTGTGTGCTGGGTCAGCTCTACATATCTGTGAGACAGCCATTATAATATTTTCCTAAAGTTGAAACCCTTAATGCCAGTGGAGAAAGTCTTGGCAGGTTTTGTTTTGCATCTAGTGCAACCTGTTGAAAGCACCAGTGAAAACCGTACATTTCTCCTCCCTGCTGACTAATCCATCTCAGCATCTCTCACAACTCTCTGCTGAAAGCGATGAACTTTTCTCCACTTCCATGTGATGGAAGGCTGACTTTTGAAAAATATATTAGAGAATTGTCAGTTTAGCCGGTGCTATAGCAGTTTGGTGGTTTATGCCACGGTAGCAGAGCACATCAAATATTAAAGCGCTGCTGTCAGGCTTAATGTTCTGCAGTGATCTGGTTTAGCATGTCTAATATAGGAATGCTGTCTCAGATGACAAGGAGAATTATGCCCTCCCTACCCCCACCTCTCATCTACTAGCAGATGTGCTAACACATACTGCTTTTAATGGTGATTTCAAAAGACAGCAAAACTCTGCACTGCTGCAAGATCATGGTCTTGTAAAGCCAGCAAGAGAGAACCAGTACAGATATTTGGTAACAGGATTAATATATAGTAGCAGTAGCAGTTTATTTAATTACATTGAATGAGGACTGTCTGCATACACGTACCCATGTTCACAGCGGGTGCATCCCTAAGCCTTCGTCTGCTGGGCATCAAGACAGCAAGACAGACTCAATCATGTATCTTCACAGTTTAATTAAATGTGTGCATTTGTAGGAACACAAACAGATGTCTTTTTTTTATAATCTATCTGGTCCATGTCCATGAAGGTCCAAAAGGCCGAGTCATAATCAGAAACTCTTCCATCTGCATTTACTTCTGGATCTGATGGAAACTGCGTTTTGACTGAGCATGATAGGAGTCACAGGGAAAAATGTGAAATGGATCTAGTCATGGCCCAGCAGCAGGTGCAGAACTGAGTCATGGCCTTGGTCTACTGAAAGCTGTCTCGGAGGGGAGGAAGTCACGGCCCAGCAGATGTCTCATCAACAAATGCCTCCCCAGTGAGTGTGCCACTTCTGCTGTTGACTCGCCACCCCACACTGCTGAAAATTGCCTTTGTCTGACCAACAGGTTTAGATCTTTGGTGAGTGGTAGCATCCAGCATCCAGTCATCCATTGAAGTTTTCACAATGGAAACCTCACGTACATTAAAATACACTTATTGTGGAATTTTAAAT